TACAACAAGATTTTAATCAAAAAATTAATTTTATTTGTCTGTAATTAGCCCCTTCACTCCCAAGAGTGCTTGGTTTTCAAATATAATTTAAGATATTGTATTTTATGGAAAAGAATCAACAGATTTTATTCACAATTTGTGTCAAACCAAATTTAATGATTGATTAGAACTATTTTATATGAATAGCTGTAATTGAGGATTAATCCATATGAAGTTTTCAAGAAAAGAAAAATAAATCAAATTCCATCCTAATATTACCACACATTGATGTTAATAATAAATCAAAAATATTTTATGTGTAAGCCTTAATTAAGCTTCTAAATAAATTTCATTGAATACTTGAATTTTAGCTGGGTTTTTTTAATTTAAAGTATTTATTTTATATCATTAGCCTCAAATTTTTGCTTAAAATTCCCAGTAATTCTTAAACATTCCTAAAAATTCCCAAAAATTCCCAGAAATTCCCAGAAATTCCTAGGAATTTTTTAGATTTACAGCTTTTCAGGGAAAGTCATTGGTTCTCTGAGTTGGAATTCCTAGGAATTCCTAGGAATTCCAAGTCCTGTTGGCTATAAACTTGGAATTTCTGTGAATTTCTGGGAATTTCTGGGAATTTCTGGGAATTTCTAGGAATTTCTAGGTTTTTAGAACCAGAGTTGTTATGGTTGGGAATTCCTAGGAATTCCCAGTCCGAATTTACCGTGAAAATTCACACCTTTATTCCTAGGAATTCCTAGGAATGAATTCCAAAAGCCATTTCGCAAGGGCATGACTCAGATAAATAAATAACAAAAGTCTGTAAAGAACTGCAAATGCCTGTAGGTCACCTTTAAAGGTCTTCTATTCCATTTCTGAAGAAGTTCATTCTTTAGCAGACAGGCCATTGACCCTCTAAAACAGATATACAGATTTAAATATGTGATTATATTTGTGAATGTAGGAAAATCATATATGAGGACTGTACGTGGATTAAGTAATGAATAGAAAAGCGATCTTCCCAGTAACAAACACTACTTGAGCAGGAATGAAAATTAAAGACCTGAAAAAAAATTCAGGCCTATACAGCATTTGAACTCATCACCTCTAATTAACCAGTGCAATGCTTTACCAACTGAGCTAACAAGCCAATAAACTGGGAGCCGATTATTATCATGTTGGTTTGTGATAAACCTGTGAAGTGATGAATAAATGAAAATCAAATTTGTGAACTGTGAATTAAGAAATGAATATGAAAGTCATTTTCTCAGTGAAAAACACAATACTAAAGCATGCAGTATTAATAGTGAAAATAAGGCCTCACTGCTGCTTAAGTAGCATTCATGACTGGGAAGATTGCTTTATGCATTCAGTCAGATTTGACTGTAAGTCAATAGTGATTTCCTTTTCAGATCTTTAGGAACACATAATACACCAAAAGATTTGCCTGAGTCTGACAGATTCATTTGTATTACATATAAATGTTATATAAAAGAATTCATTTGATACCTTGTAAGAATTCACACTGGCATCTCTGAAAGAGAGGAAATTTTTCATCATTTGATTTTGTAGTTTGATTGTACAAGAGAAGCATTATAAGTGAAAGCTGCATAATTTCAGCTTTAGTCAAATTTTCTTCCTATGAAATATTCCTGCAAAAACTGACCACCCATAGGAACTGCAAAAAGTTAAATGTCATCTAGTTTCAAGTATCAGATTAATTGTTAACTCCTCTTTACTTACATTCAGTACAATAATTTAGCACATTTTGATTTTCAAACCTTGTACATTGAATCAGCTGACAGTCTTTCAGAATCTGATTGTTTGACTGGAAAAGTGTTAATTGCACACAATTTTCTCGTGACAATATAGCTTCCATATTTCTGAATATTTCCCTAAGTCTGCTTAACCCTTTTACTCCCAATATTTTGATATAAATTCTCTTTACTATCTGCTGTACATTTTTTTAAAATTTTGTTCTGAGAATTTGGTCTTGGATCAAATGATAATCCTCTAGTAGAAATCTTTTTCTTAATACTCTCATAACTTGGCTGCTTGATATTGTCTTGATGCTGTAAGGAGAAATTATGTCTTGGTCACTTGTTCCTGGGAGTGAAAGAGTCGGTAGATCCTTGGATGCTCTGACGAAAAAGACAACCAGGTCTTCAAAATGTCACTCAGGATCGCAAACAAATTACTCTACTTTTCAAAATTACTCTCTCTTACACCATCAATGGATTAACCCAATTTTTTTCAAATATCTTTCTATTTAATATTAATTCAGGAGCTGGCAGTAGACTTTTAAGACCATGCAGTGGTTATGTTTGCTCAAGGAAAAGTGGATGCTGTTAATGAAGCACTGTACCCATCATTGTGAATTAACATTATTTGATTAGCAATTAATTGTTTTACCCCTGATCCTGGACAGAGGTGAGGGGGATAGATGTAAAGGAAATGAATGGGGGAAAGGAGTGATTGACCCTTTAACTCCCAGATCTATTTAGTGATTCACCTCACTGTCAGTCATACAATTCTCATGATGATATTATAGTTTGGAGTATTTGGTATTGGATCAACTAATAATTCCTCA